AAGGCCCCATGGCTGCCGTCCGCATGCGTCCCGCACACCCATTTCGGCACACCCCTCACACGTTTCGTGGCCCCATAGGGAGCTCCACCGAAGGCCCCATGGCTGCCGTCCGCATGCGTCCCGCACACCCATTTCGGCACACCCCTCACACGTTTCGTGGCCCCATAGGGAGCTCCACCGAAGGCCCCATGGCTGCCGTCCGCATGCGTCCCGCACACCCATTTCGGCACACCCCTCACACGTTTCGTGGCCCCACAGGGAGCTCCACCGAAGGCCCCAGTGCTGCCGTCCGCATGCGTCCCGCACACCCATTTCGGCACACCCCTCACACGTTTCGTGGCCCCATAGGGAGCTCCACCGAAGGCCCCATGGCTGCCGTCCGCATGCGTCCCGCACACCCATTTCGGCACACCCCTCACACGTTTCGTGGCCCCACAGGGAGCTCCACCGAAGGCCCCAGTGCTGCCGTCCGCATGCGTCCCGCACACCCATTTCGGCACACCCCTCACACGTTTCGTGGCCCCATAGGGAGCTCCACCGAAGGCCCCATGGCTGCCGTCCGCATGCGTCCCGCACACCCATTTCGGCACACCCCTCACACGTTTCGTGGCCCCATAGGGAGCTCCACCGAAGGCCCCAGTGCTGCCGTCCGCATGCGTCCCGCACACCCATTTCGGCACACCCCTCACACGTTTCGTGGCCCCATAGGGAGCTTTGCGTCCCCACACCCATTTCGGCACACCCCTCACACGTTTCGTGGCCCCAAGGGAGCTCCACCGAAGGCCCCATGGCTGCCGTCCGCATGCGTCCCGCACACCCATTTCGGCACACCCCTCACACGTTTCGTGGCCCCACAGGGAGCTCCACCGAAGGCCCCAGTGCTGCCGTCCGCATGCGTCCCGCACACCCATTTCGGCACACCCCTCACACGTTTCGTGGCCCCATAGGGAGCTCCACCGAAGGCCCCATGGCTGCCGTCCGCATGCGTCCCGCACACCCATTTCGGCACACCCCTCACACGTTTCGTGGCCCCATAGGGAGCTCCACCGAAGGCCCCAGTGGCTGCCGTCCGCATGCGTCCCGCACACCCATTTCGGCACACCCCTCACACGTTTCGTGGCCCCATAGGGAGCTCCACCGAAGGCCCCAGGCTGCCGTCCGCATGCGTCCCGCACACCCATTTCGGCACACCCCTCACACGTTTCGTGGCCCCACAGGGAGCTCCACCGAAGGCCCCAGTGCTGCCGTCCGCATGCGTCCCGCACACCCATTTCGGCACACCCCTCACACGTTTCGTGGCCCCATAGGGAGCTCCACCGAAGGCCCCATGGCTGCCGTCCGCATGCGTCCCGCACACCCATTTCGGCACACCCCTCACACGTTTCGTGGCCCCATAGGGAGCTCCACCGAAGGCCCGAGGGCTGCCGCCCGCATGCGTCCCCTACACCATTTCACACCCCTCACACGTTTCGTGGCCCCATAGGGAGCTCCACCGAAGGCCCCATGGCTGCCGTCCGCATGCGTCCCGCACACCCATTTCGGCACACCCCTCATACGGCTCGTGGCCCCATAGGGAGCGCCACCGAAGAAGATATTCACAATTGCGGTATTCTCAACTGCATATGGTTGGGTCCTTCGCCAGGCTAATTTTTGTAGGGGGGGGGGGTCCCAAGAACTGAGCTCTCCTGGGGTGGGGGTGCCGGGGCCAGGAGGGGGGCGTTGGTTGGTTTCAGGCGAGAAATTGTTGTTTGTGGGGGTTTCCAAAACTGAGCTCTCCTGGGGTGGGGGTGCCGGGGCCAGGAGGGGGGCGTTGGTAATTATGTCTGGGGCGAGAAATTGTCGAATGGGAGGGTTTCAAAAACTGAGCTCTTCTGGGGTGGAGATGCCGGGGCCAGGAGGAGGGTGTTGGTAGGTTTCGGACGAGAAGTTGTCGCGTGGGGGGTGCCAAGAGCTCTCCTGGGGCGAGGGTGCCGGGGCCAGGAGGGGGGCGTTGGGAGGTTTCGGGCGAGAAATTGTCGTGTGGAGGGCCCCGAGAACTGAACTCTCTAGGGGTGCCGGGGCCAGGAGGGGCGCTGGTAGGTTTCGGGTGAGAAATTGTCGCGTGGGGGGCCCCAAGAACTGAATTCACCTGGGGCGAGGGTGCCGGGTCCAGGAGGGCGGCGCTGGTAGGTTTCGGTCGAGACATTGTCGCGTGTGGTGTTTCAAGAACTGAGCTCTCCTGCACATGGGGCGGGGGTGCCAGGGCCAGGAGGAGGGCTTTGGTAGCTTTCGGGCGAGAGATGGTCGTGTGGGGGGGCCCACGAACTGAGCTCTCCTGGGGCGGGGGTGCCGGGGCCAGGGGGGGGGCGTTGGTAGGCTTCGGGATAGAAATTGCCGCGTGGGGTCCCAAGAACTGAGCTCTCCTGGGGTGGGGGTGCCGGGGCCAGGAGGGGGGCGTTGGGGGGTTTCGGGCGAGAAATTGTCGTGTGGGGGGTGCCAAGAACTGAGCTCTCCTGGGGTGGGGGTGCTGGGGCTCGTGTGGGGGCCCCAAGATCTGAGCTCTCCTGGGGTGGGAGTGCTGGGGCCAGGAGGGGAACGTTGGTTGGTTCCAGGCGAGAAATTGTCGTGTGGGGGGTTACAATAAGTGAGCTCTCCTGGGGTGGGCGTGCCGGGGCCAGGAGGGGGGCGTTGGTGGGTTTCGGGCGCGATATTTTCGCGTGGGGGGTCCCAAGAACTGAGCTCGCCTGGGGGAGAAATTGTGGTGTGGGGGGTCCCAAGGACTGAGCTCTCCTGGGTCGGGGGTGCCGGGCCCAAGAGGAGGGCGCTGGTAGGTTCCGGGCGAGGAATTATTGTGGGGGGGTCCCAAGCACTGGGCTCTCCTGGGTGGGTGTGCCGGGGCCAGGAGGGGGGCGTTGGCAGGTTTCGGGCGAGAAATTGTCGTGTGGGGGATCCCGAGAACTGAGCTCTCCTGGGGTGGGGGTGCTGGGGCCAGGAGGGGGGCGCTAACGAGCGGGTAACTGTCGCATGGGGGGTCTCAAGAACTGAGCTCTCCTGGGGTGGGGATGCCGGGGCCAGGAGGAGGGCGTCGGTAGGCTTCGGGCTAGAGATTGCCGCGTGGGGTGCCCCAAGAACTGAGCTCTCCTGGGGTGGGGGTGCTGGGGCCAGGAGAGGGGGCGTTATTAGGTCTCGGGCGAGAAATTGTCGTGTGGGGGTGCCAAGAATTGAGCTCTCCTGGGGTGGGCGTGCTCGGGCCAGGAGGGGGGCGTTGGTAGGTTCCGGGTGAGAAATTATCATGGGGTTCCCAAGAACTGAGCTCTCCTGGGGTGGGGGTGCCGGGGCCAGGAGGGGGGCGTTGGTAGGTTTCGGGTGAGAAATTGTCGCGTGGGGGGTGCCAAGAACTGAGCTCTCCTGGGGTGGGGGTGCCGGGGCCAGGAGGGGGGCATTGGTAGGTTTCGGGTGAGAGGTTGTCGCGTGCGGGGTCCCAAGAACTGAGCTCTCCTGGGGCGGCGGTGCCGGGGCCAGGAGGGGGGCGTTGGTAGATTTCGGGCGAAACAGTGTCGTGTGGGGTTCCCGAGAACTGAGCTCTCCTGGGGTGGGGGTGCCGGGGCCAGGAGGGGGGCGTTGGTAGGTTTCGGGCGCGGAATTGTCGCTTGGGGGGTCCCAAGAACTGAGCTCTCCTGGGGTGGGGGTGCCGGGGCTAGGATGGGGGGCGTCGGTAGGTTTGGGGCGAGGAATTTCCGTGTGGGGGATCCCAACAATTGAGCTTTCCTGGGGCTGGGGTGCCGGGGCCAGGACGGGGGCGTTTGTAAGTTTCGGGCCAGAGATTGTAGTGCGTGGGGGGCCCCATGAACTGAGCTCTCCTGGGGTGGGGGTGCTGCGGCCAGGAGGGGGGCGTTGGTATGCTTCGGGATTGAAATTGCCGCGTGGGGGGTCCCAAGAACAGAGCTCTCCCGGTTTGTGGATGCCGGGGCGAGGAGAGGGGTGGTTGGGGGGGCGTTGGTGGGCTTCGGGTTAGAATTTGTCGTGTGGGGGGGTCCCACAAACTGACCTCTCGCGGGGTGGAGGTGTCGCAGCGAGGAGGGGGACGTTGGTGGGCTGCGGGCCAGAATTTGTGTGTGTGGTGGGGGGGGGCAAAAACTGACCTGTCGTGTGGTGGGAGTGCCAGGGCGAGGAGGGAAGCGCTGGTGGGCTTCGGGCCAGAATTTGTCGTGTGGGGGGGTCTCAACAGCTGACCTCTGGTGGGGGAGGCATTGTCTGGTGGGGGCAGTCCCAACAGCAGAGGTCGTTGGGGTGGAGATGCCAGGGCGAGGAGATGAGTATTGGTCAGTGGTGGGCGAGAAATTGCGATGGGCAATGTTGGCCACTTTCCCTCACACGCCTCTGGGGTCGGCGGATTTCTGGGATGTGGGGCTTAAGTAGGATGGGGACAACATAAGCCCCGTGTCGGTTCTCCTGTGTAGTTGTGGGTGTTGGGATGTTTGGGGCAATTGCAAGGGTGAGAGACCTTCATCGTGGATTTCAGTGGGTTTCTTTGGTACCTATCAGGCGGTAGCCTCCAATTCACTGAGTTCGTTTGGGACCTCACAGGCATGAGCGGTTTCCTCTTAGCGTGTGTTGGGGACCTCTCAGGCGGGGGGGGTTCTTCCTCTTGGAGATTGTTGGGTCCTCTCAGAGGGGGTACCTCTTCCTCGTCTCGTTTGTTTGGGACGTCTCAGGCGGGGAGCGATGTCTTGTTCGCGTTTGTTTGAGGCCTATCAGGCGGTGGGCTTCTCTTCCTCCTAGCGTGGTTTGTGGACCTCTCAGGCCCGAGGCCTCTTCCTCGTAGCGTGTGTTGGGAATCTCTCAGGCGGGGAGTTCCTTCCTCTTAGCGTATTTGGGGGTGCCTCTCTGGCGGTGAGTGTCGTATTCTTGGCGTTTTGTTTTGGAAGGGCTCTCATGCCGAGGCCTCATCCTCTTAGCGTTGCTCGGGACCCCTCAGGCGTGAGCCTCATACTCCTAGAACCTCTCTTCTCTCAGGCGGGAGCGTCCGCCGTGAGAGTTGCTGATGTTTGCAATTTGTCCCCGTTGCGTCCACATCCTTCTCTTCTTCGTCTCCACCCTCCATACCCATTTTGGCTCACTTGCTGCCTCGACGCCTGCTCGCTGGGCAGCTGCCCGCCTCGCCCGCCGCAGGCCCGCGTCTCGCCATGGGGCTTCCGCTTCCCCTGCTCGCGGTCCTTGCGTTGGCCGCCTCGCGGTGCCGTGCGTTCAGCCAGTGCTCGGACGGGGGCGCCGAGCCTCAGGTGCACGACGTGGAGTCCGACGACGACGGCGCCTTTGCCCAGTTGCGCACTGTGCGCGCCTTTCCGGCTATGCCTATGCCGCCTGCTATGCCTATGCCGTTTGCTATGCCTATGCCGCCTTGGCCCGGCTCCGCACCGGGCGGTTCCTCGGCCTGCACGGCCGCGGTGGGGGGTGTATGCTTCAGCGGCGACATGTGCTGCGGCAACATTGGCCCAGGCGATGCCGTCACCTCTTCATGCAAGTGCTGCCCCAACGGGTGCCCAGGAAGCGACTCGACTGCCGACGCCACCACCACGTCTCCGCCGCTGGACCCTTTCTCGGCAGGCGCGGGTGAGTGCACCGCCCCTGGCGCGATCGACCCGCAGGACATGATCAATGGCGGCGCCGCCAAGCTGAAGAAGGCGGGGAAGTGTGGGGCGGATGGCTGCACCTGCTCGACCGGCTTGGTATCCATCGGCGGTTGCAGTTTTTGCCTGGCCATGCGCTGAGGCCCGCGGCGGCTTGTCCTCCAATCCAGTGTTCTGCGCAGTTGCCAGCAGATCTGGCAAATCTGTGGCCACGCGCCCAATGTCACGTTTCACGCGCATCGCTCGCGCTCGGGCAAGACAGTTCGTGTGCTAGCGCAGCGCGTTTTCAAGTGAGACGGACAATTTCCGACAATGAAGAGAGTCCCTTCTTCGTCTCCACTTCCCTCCTTGCGTTTATTCGTGAGAGGAGAAGACTGCGGTAGACCCGTCGGGGGCCAACCTTGTGAGCTCCCCCACCCCGCCCCACCCCCGTGGGGGTCTACCGCTTCATTCGGTTACGACCAAGCGATGCGATGATATGATGTAATGATTCCGATGGAGCCTGCAATGCGTGATATTCTGGTGACTTATTTGTGTGCCGATTGGGTTCATATTCAAGTTCAACTGGATTGTGTGAATATTGCGGTCTGTGCGATTTCTATTCATTCCGATTCGCCATTCTATTCAAATCGGATTGAAACCCACTGTAGTTAGGGCCTTCCAGATCTTATTGAACTAGTCTTGGAATCCCATCTGGATCGACCAGGAATCTTCTGGATATGGTGTAGCCCAACTACAACAGAGGAAACTCCAGATCTAGAGACTTCTAAGTTGATCTCATTTGCACCCAACTTGCATTCAAATTCGAATGGATCTGGTCCGAGGTCTAAACAACACCAATCGTATTCCAATTGATTCCTGTTTTATTTCAAAGTAGAACGGAGGAGATCGCAGATCCAGAGGATTTCAGTGGGATTCCGATCAAATTTCAGTTGGATCCCAATTACCATAAACCGTGTGGGGGATTCGGATGTTTTGTTTGGGATTCCAGATTCTCAGATACCAGCCAGCGCAGACCACAAAGAGTTAACAATATTGATATGAAGTCGATTCTACAGGCTTACGCCGCATCCACCGACCCCTTCTGTGAGTGTTGCGAGGCCAAGAGTTTCTGGCCAGCGGCGTCTTGTGTGAGGGTGCGGTGTCGCGCGCGGGTGGTGGCAGATACGTAGGGAGTCCAAATGTTTGCGTGATGCTGGTGGTCTGGGTCGTGTTTTGCGAGCGCCTTGCGTGGGTCGGAGTGTCCTTCTGGGAGGTCGGCTTTTCGACCCGCAACCAAGTGGAGGACCACCGGAAAACGAAAGGAGCAAGAGTAGTGTGCGGAAGCTGTGATCAACGAGACATAACCGCGAAAAATGTGGCAGATGAGTCGAAACGGGTGAAGAGGCTGTTGACGTTCGCAGCGCGCGCGAAACAGTTCGCGCGGCGACAGCACATTAGCGCCGAGCAAGATAGTGAGCATGTCGCGAGGAAGAGCAAGGCTGTATGCGCGGAGTGCATTGCAGTTGGCCTGACGGCTCACAATACGAAAGCGTCTGGGTTTTTTTCGGAGCCTCCTGGGGGCTTCTTGGGGCGTCTTGGCGGCCTCTTGGGGGTCTCTGGCGGCCTCTTGGGGCACTCTCGGGGCCCCCTGGGGCTCGTGGGGGCGGAAAGCTAGATTTTTGAATTTTTGGTTGCCCTCTTGGGCCCCTCTTGGAGCCGTCTTGGAGCCTTCTTGGGCCGTCTTAGGGGGCCTCTTGGGGCCATCGTGGGCCGTCGTGGGGCCGTATTGGGGGCCTCTTGGGCCGTCTTGGGGCGGTCTTCGGGGCCTCTTGGGCCGCCTTGGAGCGTCGGCAAGCCCACGAGGCGCACATGTGTGAAACAAATATACGTTTTACGAAGGAAATGAGCAAATTCTTGACGCTTCGCGTATCCCCACCAGCCCATCCAGAAACGATGTCCAGGCAAGTTGAAGAGATCAAGGAAGTGGGGAAGCAACGAGAGGGACAGTCGACCCGTGCAAAGGACGAGGCGGAAGAAGAGGCCAGATGGATAGATGAGGGGGTGGCGAGGAACCGAGCGAAGGAGGGATGAGGAGAATGATGCCGCTGGGTGGATGGTTGAATGCCGTTCGGGTGCCTCTTGGAAGCCTTTTGGAAGCCTCTTCGGGCGTCTTGGGGGTCTCTTGGCGGTCAATGGGGGCTCTTGGGCGTCTTGGGTGCTTCGGGGGGGCCTCTTGAGGCCGCTTGGGGTCCTCTTGGGGGGCTTTTGGGGGCCTGCTGGAGGCCTCTTGGGGCCTCTTGGGGGTCTCTTGGAGCTTCATGGCGGCCTCTTGGAGGCCTCTTAGAACCATCCTGGGAGCCTCTTGGAGCCTCTTCGGGGCTTCTTGGGGCCTCATGGCGGCCTCTTGGGGCCTCTTGGAAGCCTCTTGGGGCCTCCTGGGCGCCTCTTGGGGCCATTTTGGGGGAGATCGATCAAAGAAGGGGGGGTCCCTAATTAACCCTCGGGAGGTTCCACAATAGCTGCCTGGACCCCTCTTGGGGCGCTATTGGAGCGCTCTTGGGCGCTATTGGGGCCGTCTTGGGGCCCTTTTGGGCCCCTCTTGGGGCCTCCTTGGCCCCTTTTGGAGCCATGTTGAGGCCTCAGATGGCCATCGGAAGCGAAAAGGCGAGAAACCGAAAATCATTTGTTTTCCCTAGGTTATTGAAGGATTTGGGCTTTTGGGGGGGCCTCCTTGGGGAGATAACTGGCCTCTTGGAGATGTCTTGGAGCGTTCTGAGAGCATCTTGGAGCATCTTCGGAGCCATCTTGCGGCATCTTAGGCTATCTTGAGCCATCTTGGAAGTCATCTTGGACTATCCGAGGCGCTCATGGTGCCATCCTGGGCCATCTTGGACACCCTGACCGCTCGCGGCCGGGCCCGTCCAGGTCCAGGGGAGGGGGTTAGGGGGGGAAAACCCCTCCCCGAAGGGGAAGAAGGGAAGATGGAACAGGAAACTCCTTAAACCACCTACGCCCAGAGGGCTGGTGGGATTTTTGCGTCTACGGACCCTCTTCGGACGCATCTTGGAGGCCTCTTGGGGGCGTCTGGGGCCATATGGAGGCCATCTCGGGTGTCTTCGATCGCTGTTGGACCGTGTGGGACAGCTTTTGGAAGCCACTTGGAGCGCTCCTTGGAGCGCTCTTGGGGCCGTCTTCGGGGCTCTCTTGGGCCGTCTTCGGCGCCTCTTGAGCCGTCTTGGCGCCCTCTTGGGCTGTCTTGGGGCGGTCTTGGGGGCCTCTTGGGCCGTTTGGGAGCGTCGGAAAGCCCAATAGGCGAATTTGTGAAACTAACATACGTTTTACGAAGGGAGCGGGCTAATTGTTGCATCCAGAGGCCCTCTTGGGACGCATCTTGGATGCCTCTTGGGGCCTCTTGGGGGCATCTTGGGCCGTCTGGAGGCCATCTTCTGTGTTTTTGATCGCTCTTGGACCGTTTGGGACCACATTGCGTTCTCTTGGAGGCCAATTTGAGCGCTCCTGGAGGGCTCTTGGGGCCGTCTTCGGGGCCCTCTTGGGCCGTCTTGGACGCCTGTTGGGCCGTCTGGGGGCCCTCTTGGACTATTTTGGGGCCCTCTTGGAGGCTTCTTGGGCCGTCTTGGGGCGGTCTTGGGGGCCTCTTGGGCTGTCTGGGAGCATCGGGAAGCCCAGAAGGCGAATTTGTAAAAATTGTATGTTTTATGTAGGGAATGGGCAAACTTTTGCGTCTAGGGACCCTCTTGGGACGCATCTTGGAGGCCTCTTGGGGCCTCGTGGGGACCTCTTTGGGCCGTCTAGGAGTCCTCTTAGCCTGTCTTTGGGCCATCTTGGGCGTCTTGGAGCGCTCGTTTGGCGTCTCGGGGCCCTCGTGGGTCGTCTTGGAGGCCTCTTGGGGCCTTTTTGGACCGTCGCGTGGTCCCGTTTGTGCGCTTTTGGTTCGTTTTGGGACTTTCTGCTCCCCCATGACGCGTTCGGCGGTGGGTGCTCCGGGGCCGGGGGGGTGTCAAATCTCCGGTTTAGGGTCCCTGGGGGGGTTAAGGGGGGGGGAACTATCTCACACGCCTAGAGACCCACAAGGGGTCGGCGGATTGGAGTGGATTGCATCAGATTGGACTGGAGCAGATTGGACTGGACTCGGGTGGATTCGACCCCACTCTACTCTACTTGATTCGAGTCCGTCCGACTCTACTCTACCATCGCCCCCCACTCTCTTATGTTTTGCTCTGTTCTACTCTACACTACACTACTCTACTTACTTACTCTATCCTACACTACACTACACTGCACTGCGTATACACACGCACGCACGCGCATGCATTGGTGTATGCGTGCAGGTGTGCAGGCTGTTTCGGTCGTCGTGTTGGCAGTTTTCGTCTTACTGGGACACTGTGCGTACGTGCGCGCGCGCGCGGTGGCGTCCAGTTCTCGCGCGAGGTGCGAGGCTAACTGGCCTTGTGTTGGCTCCCAGAATCCCAAGTTTAAAATCGATATTTCTCACGCGGTTTCGAGGGTGACACGTGGCACCGGTTGCTTTTGTGAGGCTGAACGGCATTATGTTGGCTTTGGATTTTCAAAATTTCAATTGGTTATCATGTCACGGTTTCGGGGTGACACGTGTCGTCCGCTGTTTTTCTTGTGAAGTTGGATGGCCTTATGTTGGTTCCCAGAGTCCAATTGAACATTGTTTTTTCTCAGACGGCTTCGGGGGAGGCACGTGTCACTGGTTTTCTTTTGCGAGGCTGAATGGCCTTTTGCTGGCTTCCAGAACCCCAAACTTACATTTCTTTTTGTCTCACGCAGTTTCGGAGATGGCGCGGGACGGTCGTGGTTGTGCAGTTGAATGGCCTTATGTCGGCCCGTGGAATCCTAAATGTATGATTGATTTCCCCGCGCGGTTTGGGGGTTGGGTGGCGCGCGTCACCCGCTGTTGTTTTTTGTTGTGAAATTGAATTGCCTTATTCTGGTTCCCACAAGTCCAAATTTGCAATTCGTTTTTTCTCACACGGTTTCGGGGTTACACGTGTCGCCCATTGTTTTTGCGAGGTTGAATGGCTTTATGTTGGCTCCCAGACCTCTGGATATACACCTGGGTTTTCTCACTCTGTTTCGAGGGTGACACGTGCCACCTTTTGTTTTGCGGGGCTGGATGGCTTTCTATTGGCCTCCAAAGACGCACATTCACATGTGTTTTTCTCACGCGGTTTCGGGGGTGACACGTGGCACCCGTTGCTTTTGTGAGGCTGCATGGCCTTATGTTGGTTCCCAGAATCCCAAGTTTACAATTGTTTTTTGTTCACGCAGTTTCGGGGGGGACACGTGTCACGCCCTGTTTTTAGTGCGGTAGAATGGCCTTATGTTGGTTC